GGTTTTTGTTTTGTTGTTTTTCCCTTTGGGTTGTCCCTGTGTTTGCTAACATTTTCTGTCCCCTGCTAGTTGCAGTGTCCATAGTGACCAGAAATTACTTCAATCTCGTGGCTTTGTGAATGACAGACAACAGCTTCCCTGGTTGCTGAGCCCCCAACTCCTTGGAGAAGCTAGAGCTTTTTAAAACTATAAACTGACGTTTTTCGTGTAGCTAGTACATTGTGAATGCAGCTTGTTTGGTTCACACGTGCATTCTGAAACTATGTTCAGTTCCTTTTTCTGGGAAGAGTTGTCTGTAGTCAGCTGGTAGGCAGTTGTCTGCCTAGAGCAGATGCCAGTGTCCTGTCTTAGCTTGCCAAATGGTGGTGTTTATATACAGGGTGGCAGTTAGCCCATACCACTTAAACCAGAATCATCAAGGGGCTTATGTTATCAGTTGCTATGGTATCTAAAACCCTGCCATTTTTTACTTCCTTCCATGAGTATGTGTCCATTCGGATGAGTGCCCAGCCATCTGGCCTTGGGACCAACTGCTCCCTGAGATGTCCCTTTATTATTCCCTTTGGGCATTAGTCTTCTGGTGTTCAGTAGGTACATCCAAGCAGTCAGCTCTGTCCCCTGCAGACACAAAGGTTTCAAGGTCTGTTGTTAGTTTTGCCGTTGTAGACCCCTTGTCATACCAGCTGGTTCCCTGGATCTTTTTAGTTTGGTGGGGACATGTTTTCTTTTTCTTTTTTACTCTAGGATTTGGTGCAGTTGCAGCCAGGGCAGTTATTCCCCTTTGAAATATTGGTGAATATCCTTATTATCAAATACAGTAAGCATAGGGTCTGTCTATCATGAAAGTGGTCGTTTTCAAATACTGAAGACAAACAGCATATCTGCCTTTGTTTTAGATAGTACATCTTTTGAGTTAACTGGGGGAATGGAAATAGTACATTTTGATGGCAAAATCCAGTAGGGTGGGTCGCTTTGAGTATTCCAATTAGACTATCAAATGTAGAAAACGGGTGGGGAGGGTGGAGAATAAGAATCATTTAAAAGTTTGGGCTGCTGGTCAGTTTTCTGTTTGAAGTTATGGTTCATTTTTGGTGCATATTGTGTCACTTCTGACTCTTGCTCTCTTGGCCCTGCGGACCTCACCTCATCTACCTATTTTGCCATCTCTCGAGACAGTGTTGATGTTTTGATTCCTGAAAATCTTTTCAGTAACACAGACTGACATACATGGTTGCAGCATAGATTATTTTAAATGGCTTTTAAGATCCCTTCTTTAGCATGGGTCTACTATCCAACTTTTTTTATTTTTAAAGTTTGCTTCATATTCGTATGGTAATAAATACAACAGTATTTCAAATAGTTTTCAAGAACCCATCTTGAAAAATATTTCAGAGCATGGAATAATGTGTGATTCGATAGGAGTAAGAATGCACTGGCTTTGGTGAACTCAATGTTGATCAAAGAAGCATGACTAACAACTTCCCAAGGTTTCAGAGTAGCAGCCGTGTTAGTCTGTATCCGCAAAAAGAAGAACAGGAGGACTTGTGGCACCTTAGAGACTAACAAATTTATTAGAGCATAAGCTTTCGTGGACTACAGCCCACTTCTTCGGATGCATATAGAATGGAACATATATCCAACTTCCCAAGGTGTGATTATGCTTGTCCTTGCTACAAGTTTTTGGGCCACTGTGTCCCCCTTTTAGTAGATACATCTTATAGGCAACTATGTCAAGAGCAGACACAGTATATGGGCAGTTCTTCCCCATGTCTCCATGCTATCTGCTGATTCAGTTACTGTGTTTCTAACCTTTCTGTTTGCTCACTTTACTTTTCTTTTTTATTAACTTTTCTCCTGTTACTCCCATTCCTCCTTTTTCCTCTCCATTTTTATTAGTTTTTGCTCTCTTAGTTTTTTTCTCTCCCTTGCCCTTGTTCCCATTGCCTATTCCATCAATGACCAGAAAGCTACATGCTGCTTGTCATGGAGGTGAATATTGGCGGCTTTCATGTGGCCGAGACACCTGTTCTCACAACTGAGCTGTGTGTTGCGAGGGGCGACACACACAGATTGGACCAGCAAGCTGCTTTCTGAGCCTGCACTCCCCACCCCATGAGCTGTTATCTCTGGGCAGCTTTATGAGGGCCCATCACAGGGCCAGAGAGGCTGCCTACTTCTTTACCCCTACCAGCATGTTTGCAGTGAGAAATTGGTCCTGCTTTAATTGCTCCGTTGCTCCTCTCATATGGCACCTTACCCAAGTCAGGAAACCTAACATAATCCATAAGTGTTGCTAAACAGAATGACTACAGTCTGTTCAAACAACCTAACTCTGAGACTAGGAGTATTGTGTTCTTGATACTCCCAGCTGCCTTGAACTTTGCGAAACAGAAATCATCAGAGAGCTTAGTGCCTTCCGGAGTGGAGTGCTGGACTGTTACAAAGTTCACGTGAGGAAGTGTTGCACTTAGATATAAAGTTTTGAGAGAATTTTTTGTTGAGACTGGCATTACATTCCCACAGTTTCTGTCTGCTCAAATGCCTTGGTGGTGGTGGTCAACTGCATTACAGTGGATGGGAATTACTCAGGAAATCCTTTTTCTTTGAGCTGAGACAGGAAATTACATATATTTGGGGATTCAGACCTGGATGTCAGTAGTCACAGTTCTCAATCCTGCCAGCACAGCTAACATCTCCTGAAGGCAGCAAGAGTGTGGGCTGTTCACCCCCTCTCACGTGCATTTAGCCGTGGTACCAACTGTGCTGGTTACAGACAATTCATTTAGAAAGCACCGAAAGAAGAAAAAAGTCTTTTATGTACACTTGATTTGTGCTACAAGAATTCTTACTTTTAACTAAAATTAGTTGATTTCCAGCTGTCTGTTTTAGTAATTATTTATATCGCCTGGGGACCCCAAACAGGTTGTTATAGTGCCTATATATAATATATAATGAGAGGCTATGTCCCTTCCCCAAAGCGCTTACAGTCAAAGCAGACAGAGCAGATGAAGGGTGGGAGAAAGGAAATAGGTAGTATCCCCATTTTGCAGATGGGTAATTTAGGCACAAGGATGAAGTGAATTGTCCGAGCTCACCCAGGCAGTCTGCAGCAGATTTGGGAATTAAACCCAGATCTGAATCCCAGACCAGTGCCTCAGCTACAAGACTGCCATCTCCTGTTCAAAGTGACTTATGGCACAGCTATATCTTGACTTGTTTATTTTTTTCCTCTCTCAATGACATTTTCTATGTGGCACATTTCCTGACTGGTTTCAGATTAATTTCAGATTTAGTCATGCAAAAACTTTGGATCAAGTTATGCCTGATGAAAGTTGGGCTGCTTTAATATCTGTCCCAATATCTCCTTTTTGTGTGGAAAAGCCAACTCACCACCTTACTTGAATGTGAGGAAGCATTTGTTCTAAACTCAGATTGTCAGGTCAAAGTCTAGCTATTAATTTGGGGTTTTTTTCATCCGTTCCTTACTATAATAACTTTGTGGCATAGCCAGCGTAGTTTAAATTGCCCTAGAGCCCTCAAACAGAAGCCAGCTTTTCTCTGGTGGACACGGTAGGCCCATCAATTCAAAGAATAGACAGTCACAATCGATTTGAATGCTGTTCCCAGAGACCTCTTGGCACTGTAACATCTTAACAGAAAGAACCTTTAAAAGCGTCACGTGTTTACGCGTGCCATGTTATTTTTGGTGTGACTCCATTGAAGTAGAGTTCAGTAATCCTGACCCCACTGATACGTTCTTTTCTTTAGAAGTGGAGTGTAGCAAATTAGCTTAATGAGTAGATAAGCTCCCTTGCTTTACCTAAAGTGAAAATACGCTAAGGCAGAGATTACGTGTATTAGCGTACTTTGGATGGAGCTGTGTTTAAACACACAAACTCTTCAAGTGCTTAGTTCTGGTTATTATACTGTGAAGTTTGGGTCAGTTAGAACAATGTTCTCCCTCTGAATAAATTCTGCAGATGACTTTTCCACTGCTGCTCGTGCTCTCTAACTGGAATAGCTGTGCATAATGCCATGTTCAGACACACACTGCTGTGTGACTCTTTCGAGAAACAGAAACTTTTGTGACAAACCTGTCAAAGTAAACATACATTTTGAAGCTGATGTGCATTAGAAGGTGGTTTGGTTTTTTGTTTTGGTTTGGGTTTTTTAAGTGGATACATTGGCTACGTTTTTATTCTTTAGCCTGTGGTGATAATGATGGAATACAGACTGCTAAATTCATGCATTACAATATCCTGACACCTGTTGATAAATTACCACCTTTGAGCCTGTCTTCGCGGGGAACATTTTTGAAAAACTTGATCAATGTAACTGTCAGTGCAACTAAAGCAGGATACACCTCTCCCACAGATGCACTGCACCAGTCCACGCCAGGGCTTGCAAAGGCACAACTTAATCTGGTTAATTGCCGAAGTAACCTCACTTTACTTCAGTGTACTGCAGCTCCATTAGCAGTTTGCACAGTGTAGCTACACTGACCTGGTTACACCAGTGAAAATGTTCCTGAGGTAGACAGTTCCTTTGTCTGACCAATAGCAAACATGGAAATTCTGGTTGTTGTATCTTTGAGACATTTCTTGGTAGCTTTTAACTAGCATCTGGTGACAGCTATTTTAAGATAGTACAAGACTTTCAAAATGTAGTAGGCATTTTAGGAATGTGTGCACTTTAGTGCCCTGTGGTAAATGTAGGCTTAAATTACTGGTTTCACAGTCAGGGCTGTTTCAAAAAAAGGATTTTCTGTTGCCTTGTAAAATACCTTCCTACTAATACTGGTAGAAATATAGTGGGTAAAAGTCATACCTGGGACCCATCATTTCTGTTCCAAATACCAGCCAGTGACAGTTACGGGCTGCGCTATTTTTTTTCCCCTTTACAGCAAAACAGAAAGCATCTCTTCTTTCATGGACCACATTTGCAATTCTCTGCTTAATCTTCTCTGCCTTAATTTTTTTTTCTATTTTTTCCTTCCCTAGGTCCACAGCAAAGATAAAAAATATGTATGCAAAGTGTGCAACAGAGTGTTCATGTCTGCCGCCAGCGTGGGAATTAAGCATGGTTCCCGACGCCATGGAGTTTGTGTTGATTGCTCTGGTCGAGGCATAACAGGCCACTTAGATCAGAATGGAGGAGAAGGATCTCCAGATGAATTGTATCCTGGTGAAGGCCAGTACATGGAGGATCCAGATGACATGAAGGTGGAGGGAGATGAAGAGATGGGGGATGATGATGATATAAAATGGAAAGATGATGTAGGAATTTCACAAGATGATGTGATTCTAGAAGATGACAAAGAAGATGTCGACTCTCCACAGGAGCAAGAGAACTCTGGAGAGAATGACAAGGATTTTACTTGGATTTCTTAGGGAAACGGGGAAGGTTTTGTTTGTAGGGGGAGGGAGGGAAGACAGAGTGTGCTGGGAAAAACTAAGTAGCCTTGTTGTTGTCCATGTGTGCAAAAGAGTTGTTTGTGGGTTTTTTTAAAACAAACAAGTCCTTTATCTGTACCATTCAGATACTGTATTAGTAAGTGTCACTTTTAGTGGCATCAGTTACATCCCTTCCCCTTCTCCCCCATGGAAAAATACGATTGTCTGTCTTTGCCTCTCTGTGGGAGCAAATCAGATTGCATGCAAGTGACGTAAAGTTTCTGAAGATGTGAGCACTGTGAGGGGGGAGAGACTAGGAGACAGTGTAAAGCGTGTGTTCCTTTTATAAACCTTCCCCACCCTGAATTAAATACCAGGGAGGTTTTGCGTCCCAAACCATTTTTTTTTAAGTTTTGTTTGTTCTAAATTCACAGCAGCAGTGGACTTACTTACAGACTAGTATCATGTAAATAAACTGACCTGTATGTTTGAGGGCTTCTCCATATAACCCAAGCCTTTCACAAAGAATTAATTTAAATATTTAATTTTTTTAATTTATATCTTTTTTTTTTTTTAATGGAGCCTGTTAGATCAAACAGCAATTCAGGCTGCAGCCTTAAGAGCCACTTTCATAACATGGGGTCTTAACTCCCAAATAGTCCATCAGGTTAAAGATCATGAAATTACTTGGGCCCACTGGCATCTTAACAGAATCCAGTTTTCCAACCTTGTTTAGTTACGTTATGTGAAATGAGTGGTGGTGTTTCCATAAGATTTCTTTTGTTATAAAAGACGCATATAGTTTAGTACCCAGTTGCTTGGTTTACATGAAAGTTGTCACCTTTCTCCCTTAGGTGTCAACTAACTGCCTTTTTCATATTTATGTGTAAATTTTAGTAAATATAAGTCATTTAGCAAAATGAATTACAAATTGTGATAACTTAAGAAACTAGGGGAGAAATCCTGGTTCTGAATTCAAGATTTCTCCCAAGTTATATTATTATTCATCCTTGCCAAGCTAAAACAGTCCTACTTAATTTGTAAGTGTAGTCCGGATATTTAATTGACTAAGTAAAATTTCCTTTGTTTCAGCCAGGCTGGTTCCGGGTAAGTAAACCTTCTCTTTTAGAGAACCAGATTTCTCCACTAGAGCATCTCCTCTTTCAGTAGAGTTTACATGGGTGTGTTCCAAATAGTTCAGTTCATATTGGCCATCGCTGCCTTCCTATGACAATGTTTAAAGAAAAAACTCAATGAAAGTGTCCTGTTCATAATAAAAGCTTCTGCTGTACCTTTCACCTGTATGCTTTTGGTGCTTAAAAAAAAAAAAAAAGCTGAAGACCTCACTGTTTTCTTGCTATGGAGCAGACTTTTATATAACCTGTATGAATATGGTGATCTTGAAACCTGCCACAAATAAGCAACCAGTTAAATCTAGGAAGCCAAATGATTAAAAGGTGCTATTTTTCCCCCAATTGTGGGAAAGGCAATTTCTTGTGGGAAAAGCATATAAGTCCTTGCAGTTTAATTTTAACAAATGGAAAGCATGGTTCTCCCCAAATTTTGGGACTCCACTCACAGTGGTTTATACTTTCACATTGTGCAAAAGCACCAGAGTTCTTGCTGTTCAAGTTTGGTACTTGTCAGTAATTTGGAAAAATGTTTTTCTAAGCCAATCCATGTTCTTAAATCTACTGTTAGCTCGAAGCAAAGCTCTGTCATCACTTGTCTACACTGCTGCTAATATTTAGGATTGAGAAAGTTACCCGACAAAAATGGACAACCAGATTCTTTAAATATTCAAGGAATAGTGGGGGAAGGTCATATAAAACCATTTTTATGAAACTGTAAAAAGCTGTTTTTGCATTTTAGCTTGTTGTAAAGCCCTATAACTGTGTTTAAAAAAACCCCAATATTTTAAGATTGGACCTTTATATCCCTTTTTCTAAGTGCAAAAGAAATCAGCAGCTGTGTCCACTCTGTGTTGATCATAAAACCAGGCCATTGTTTCATGAACTTGACTGCTTTCACCTGTCAGATATGCAGGCTGTGGATTTATTGCCATTTATTCTGTAAATATTACGTTTTTTCCCTAAACTTCCAGCAATCACTTGTTACATGTAGACAAATACATACAGTACTTTAAAGATACCTGTCGCTTGGCTTTTTATATATTAAATCTATTTAAAAACGGAGAAAGGAGAAAAAACCCAAAACCACAAACCTTCAGTTTCTACATTCCAGTTTTGGTCCACCCTGACTCCACTATACAGATTCACTATCTTCAGCTAGTACGTTTTAGGGAGAAACACAAGGTATTGATCCTGAGTTGACTTTTTCCCTTGTCCCTGCCCCCCTTTTGGGCAAACTTGATTTTGTATTAATATTTTGGGGTGCTTAGCTTTATTTCGTGTTTTATTTGGAAATATTTTATATTGCCTTTCTCTTTCCTTTTCTTTTTTTTTTTTTAAATGGTGGACAATAAGCCAAATGGCTTTCATAAATGTTTTCTACTAGTGCCACTTCTGTGCTCTTCAAACTGAGGATGCAAAAAAAACCAACAAAACCCACAAAAAGCTAACTTGTTATAATGTTAAAATTATAATATGGCACATGCGTCTATATTACTAATTTACACTAAATAAATATATATACCAAATAAATCATTCTAATATGTGATGTATACTTTGAAGTGCTTTGTTTTTGATGGAGGTGTGCAGATTTGGAAATTAAAAACCTTTCAGGAATTTCTTTTTAAACTTTCACACCCTATAGGGGTGAGACATGGGATTTTATTTTTGAAAGACAGTGAGTTTTAAAACGGGGATACTTTCTCTCAAATGGAAAGGGAGGCTCTCTATACAACTTTACCAGTTACTTCACTTCTGTGTTCTAAACTGAAATCTGAAAGTGCACTATGTTTAACTGCAGGGATAATCTCTGTAAAAATGAAAAGAAATCGGATTTGAAAACAGGAAATTAAGCATGAAAGAGACCAGCAATTTCCAGCTCCATCCCCAGGCCCAATCCCACAAAGACGTAAGCAAATGCCCAACTTTGTGCAGGTGTTTGACTTTCTAAATTTGGGGCGCCCGTTTAGAGTTTGCCAACCATTGCTCACGTTTTTCTGTGTCCAGATACTTGTGTAATTTGCTGCCTATATAAATTTCTATCTTTGCTGTTCTGTGTAAAGAAATTCTGCTTAAATGTTGTTCTATCCAACACTAGCTCAAATAATCTTTAGCATCCGCTCTTCTATTTCCCTTCAGGAATTTGTATATTTTACTGAGGTTCCCTTTTTAAATTTCATTTTCTTTAAAAAAATAAATAAAATAAAATGCAGATTTAATTTCAGAAAACAACTCCCTTAAAATGAAAAATTAAGACATTTGATCTCAGTGGAAATGTGGGTAATTGTTAAAAATGTTTTATATGTAATGTGTAATCACTGTACCCTGAATCTTTCTTATTCTCATCTTTTTTATATATAAAATGGGGCCAGGACTAAAAAGAGCATCTCAAATGCAGCTTTGCTAATTTCTCATGCAGTTCAATGATTGAATGCATTTCTTCAGTTTTGTATACACTATCTATGCAGCTCCGAATAAATACCTAAAGCATGCTAAATGATGCAGTAGGTTAGACCTTTGTACAATACTGCATTAAAAGCTTTCTTGAACAATACAGGCAACTTAGGTTCTTGGCTTCTCCTTCCTGTCAACTTTTTGTTTCTTTCAAAAAGTCTTTTTAAAAAATCCTAATTTATATATATTTGAGTATTGTTTCTTTATATATTAAAGTTTAAGGTCACCATAAAACCTCACAAAGATACAGAATGATTTTGCAGGGAGATGAGAAGGGGGACATGTCTCATGAAGGTTTTCAAAGTGACTGGTTCTTTTTAAAAACAAATAGTGTTTGGACTATTAAAGGAATATTTTCTTATCAAACGGAAACCTACTTTAGCATTAGGTCTCATTTTATGTTTTGTATCTTGAATTATGCCTTTAAATGTTCTGCAACTCCAAAGTGAAAATCGCATTCAGTTGACTATATATGTATGTATGTTTGGGAATTTATTACTCTGGGTTATGTGTCAAACTCTTGTTCCTGACAAAGTTATATATTTTGACTCTCAATTTGCAGTAGAGCATTGGGTCAAACACTGCCATCTTTGACTAGGCACCTCTGTGAAAAAGATCCACCTTAATGCTTCCAATTTTGCACATCATCCTTTAAAAAAAAAAAAAACCTCCAAGAAAATGCAAAAACTGGAATTTTTTGCAATATTATGAAAGATAATCTTATTTTAGCTCATTCTGTGACATGTGCAACTCTTAAGAAAGCCATACTTAATGGTTTTTTTTATTTTTAGATTCTATATTGTGTTTTGGATTTCTGCCTTTTTTTAGAATTTCTGCATAGTAAGAGTGCTGTGTGTATGCTTTCATATATATTTATTTTTCAACATGCTTTAAACCTGTCTACAAAAATAAAACTAAAAATAACAAAAAAACACCAAGACAGTGTTTGAAGATTGTTGACTATTTTTTTTGCTGGGAATATTCTATATTATACTGACTTTATATTAATTATTATAAACCTGTGTTTGTATTGGAGATGTGTTTAATATTTTGGGGAGGTGGGGAGATTTTAGTAATCAGAAGTCAGTGGGAGAACATGACTGTGTGTTGTACTGATTTTCTGTAAATGTAGTTCAGGTAAATATTACCTTATTTTCTAGTTGATCTCACAGTTTCTTGTCTGCCTAGGCATGCCAAAGGTATGCCTATTGATTATGATTACTTTATGTGATGGGATTAGCTTAGACATACTTGCAAAAATCAATCAGTTTCAATAAATTGGGAAATTGCTGCTAAAACACGTTGTCTTGGTTTTTTCACACACTGATTGAGACGTGATAGACATCCAAGTGTCCCATAATATCACTTGAGAGAGTTTGGTTCAGAATCTTGAATGGCCTTTTCCCCCATTAAATTGTCTCCACAGAGACACCCTGTCGAAGCCCACCTGAGCATCAAAACTATTCATTTTGGAATAAGAGGGGACCATGTTAAGTCCAGCTCATGCAGGGAGATTTATAAAGAAGCATGAATCCCTTCTTACTTGAGCTCCCTTTTTCCTATCAGTGAATCTGGAGTCCAACTGAGTTGCTCTGGCTTGAAGTTTTTCTTTAACATTTCTACATTTTGATGGACATTTTCCTTAGCTTAGATTTTCTTACTAAACTGAAAACCGTTTTTCCTCAGGCCTCATTGAAAAATTGTAATAGAAATTCGAGGGGTAACCCAACTCATCTCCCCACTGATGTAGGAACATGTTTCCAGCTGTACCTTTATGACTGTTTGACAAGTCTAGTTTTAAATGTCCCAAACGATGGGGCTTCCCTTCACTAGGAAGCCATTCCACCTCTTGGGACGTTTTCCTTAATATCATAAGCAAAAGGCCTCCCTTTCGTAATTCCACGCCACTACTCCTAGTTATGGCCCTTTGTACTATACTGAGCTATGGGAGAAGGTGAGAGGAAGTCTGGCTTTAAACGCTGTGCTTCATGTGCATGTTTGGAGGGTTCCCCATGACATTTGTGTTCTGCCCAGAGAATGCCGTTCTCAGAACAGGCTTTCTCAAACAGTGAGGCCCCCTACTGGGGGTGCAGGGAAGAGTTTCTGAAAGGAGCCTGAAAATCTTGTAAATTTAAAGAGGAGGAAGCAAGAAAATGCAGATCTCTGTGTGGCCTTTTCTTTTACATCACCCCCAAGGAGCTTGTTCCACCTCCAACCACATTCTCTCCTATGCACCCATCAAAGGCTGTTAGGAATTCCATCCTCTGCAGTGATTCCTCCTGGCCACAGGCTGGCACTGTCATGAAGGCCAGGGAAACTGTCTCCGTCCTCAATGCTACCCGGGGTGGAGGCAGCTGCTGTTTCAGGGGTAGCACCATGGCACTGAGGCTCCCTTTGAGCCCCTATCCCCTTGGCCCATTCCCTTTGGAGTCCTTAAACATTGTCTCCCACCCAGGTTTCCCCATGAGCCCTCCTTCCCCCCAGTGAGACTTGCAGGTCACTCTCCCGTCACCACGTGGGAGACGCAGTCTTTCCCCAGCCCTGTAGGTGCTGCACAGAAACCACCTCCTGCAGCGCCGGCCTGAAGTGCCCCAAAACCAAGAGCCAGGCCTTGAACTCAAAAGTTAGGGAATGCCAGAGTTAAGCCTACATGGGCAACCTCAGTCTGGCCCCCTTGTGTACATGGATTGGGGTGCAGTCTGTAATTACATGCTATTTGTCCCACAGGACCCCTGCCTCCTCTAGGACTTTTCAACCTTTCTTTCTGAGCCGCCCCCCCCCCAACATGCTATAAAAACTGTATGGCCCCCCTGTGTCGCAATAACTGGTTTTCTGCATATAAAAGCCAGGGCCGGAGTTACGGGGTAGCAAGCCGGGCATTTGCCTGGGGCCCCTGCAAAGCTACGTTGCTCAGGCTTTGGTTTCAGCTCCGCGTGGTGTGGGGCTTAAGGCCTGCGCTTCGACGCCATGCGGCGGGCTTCGGCTTCCTGCCCTGGGCCTGAGAAAGTCTAATGCTGGCCCTGTTGGCGTCCCCAAAACCTGCTCGCAGCCCTCCAGGGGGCTTCTGACCCCCGGTTTCACTGCTCTAATGGACAGGATGGATGCATGTGGAGTCTGGATTAAGGGGGCATGGGCAATTGTAAATCTGGCATTCCCTAAATGTTGGGTACTTGGGTTTACAGCCTTAACATTTTTCACGTTTGTGATGCGAGGCCTGGAGTTTAGAGTGGCGGGCGCTTGCTGTTACCATTTATTGGCGAGCAGTGGAAAGTGGCCCAGATGGGCAGAAACTCTGTAGGGGAAAGAGCTCTCTGCTGCCATCTACTGGTGATCAGGGAGAAGAGACCGTTAGCCAGGCCTCATTTGCATTTTTGTTATGTAAAAGTTTTAGGGGTGGTGGTGAAAATTAGTTTTTGTTTTTTGGGTGAAAGGATAATGAAATGTTGTTATCCTTGCTGGGTGACAGAAGGCAAAAGAACTGCACCAAATGTGCCCTGGATGAGGGGTCACCCTAACCAAATCCACTCTCTGGCGTGGTTGGATAGTGAAATATGGACAGACGCCAAAAGGCTAAATATTGTCCCTACTATACTGAAAGAATCACAGCTGAGTTAAATGAAGATGACTCAGGACCAGACTGTTTCCCAATTTCCCCTAGGGGTTGCAGATGGGCCTGCTGACCTCTGGACTTTGCTAACCAGGGATAATCAATGATGAGTGAAGTGCAGTAGCAGAGGGGGAAGGTGACTGTGACAACCAAACAACAATGAGAGGGTGTAATAGGAGAAGGGGAGAGAAATTGTTAAAGGGACATTTTCTTATCAGGTATCACACCCCGTGCCGGCTCCAGCGTTTTTGCCACTCCCAAGCGGCGGGAAAAAAATAAATAAAAGTCGCGAGCGGCAGCACTGTGGCGGCACCTCTACCACTGCCGCTTCATTCTTCGGAGGCAATTTGGCGGCAGGTCCTTCTCTCTGAGCGGGACTGAGGGACCCGCCGCCGAAGAGCCGGACGTGCCGCCCCTTTCCGTTGGCCACCCCAAGCACCTGCTTGCTGCGCGGTGCCTGGAGCCGGCCCTGATCGCACCGGCCCTTCGGGAACTGAGCTGATCTTCTGCCAAAGATACCATGGGGATGGGTGATTTATTTTATACATACATACATACACGTGTTGTTACTGTTCCTGAGTTGATTCTGCATCCCCTTTTCCTTGAATGCCTCATACTCAGACTTGCGAGTGGGGAAGTATTGCCTATTAAAGATGTTAGTTTCCCAGGTATCTGAGGAGGGGCTTGAGCTGGTATTTGTTTCATTCTGAAAGGAACCCTAGATATTTGAAGCTGGTTATTTTTGCTGCTGACTACTCCTGGCTGAAGGGTTACACTAACTTAGTCTAGAGTAGACTTTACCCTTTTTCATGTCAGTATAATTTCAAGTCCCAGTTCTCCTCCACTTCCTCCCGTCCTGGATTCTGAAGTGGGGTTTGGGACCATTTAATGCTGGGAAGCATCTTATTGCATGTTAAAAAGTGGCTCTAATCTAACAAAACGTATAACAGCCTGAGCAATCAAAGGCAGTGACAGTAGAGTGCCTGCACGTCTTGCTTTAAATACATTTGGGGGGTCTAGGTTTTGCCCATTCGTTATTGCTGTGAAGTGTTTTCCTTCCTGTAAGGGGGGGGGGGGAACACATGGAAAAACAGACCCTGGCCCCAGCTATATTGAATACACACAATAGGTAAAATGGGCAAGAACCCCACTAGCTCTTCCTACGCGCTGAACCGTTAGTAACCTGGTGTAGAGGTACCCGCTGCCCTCTAGTCGATTCGGCTGCGGCCACTCCGGCTTCGGGTGGTGGAAGTGGGCCGAGGGAGAAGCTGCCGTAGCTGGGGGGAAATACACATCTCCCTTGGGCCCATTCACCCCCGTCCACCATGGGCAGCTGTCTCCTTTCGTGCCTAGCTGCTCACCGGGCCGCTTGCGCGCCATCCCTGCTTCAGCGTAGCGGCCGCAGGCTCGCAGTGCAGTATACGCTGGGACACACAGGGAATGAGCAGCCTGAGAAGGGGGCAGGATGAATAGCTCCTCACCAGCCCCCGTTTGCCCTCACAAGGGCTTGGCAGGCGCCTGTTCACCAGCAATGCTCCAACGGAGAAGGGAGACGTTATTTTCCCAAAGAGAAAACAGGACGCCACACAGGGGCCAACCTGCAGCCCCCCCTGCCTTCTGCCAGCAAGGATGTGCTGGCCTGAGACACCCCTCCCTTCTCTCCCCACATGTGAGGCTGGCATGAGGCCCCGCTGCCCACCTATGCAGCCAGCCCAAGCCCCACTGCCACCCACACAGGACTGGCCCAAAGCCCCCATCAACACCTCCCCAGTACCTGCATGGGACCAGCTCAAGACCCCCTGCTGCCTGCCAAAGCCGCTCTCCCAGTGCAGGGCTGGTATTGCCACTTGCTTCCTCTGTGCCCCATGGGGGATGGTGCATCCCACTTTTTTGGCACCATGGCACTTGCCGACTGGTGAGCAGTTGGCTGGGACACATGTCCAGTTTTGCCAAACAAAGATGGCCGGCCAGGACAGGGCTTAAAGATGGGACTGTCCCAGCCAAACCGGGACACAGGGGCACCCTACCAGGGAGGTGCTGCTGCAAGAGAGCATGTGTGTGCACATCCACACACACACCCGCCCCCTGGAGCCTGGCGTCTGAGGCTTAGCTGGGCGGTGGCGTGACCTGCACCCACAGGGCTGGTTTAGTGCTGCGGGACAGGAGACCCGCTGAGCCCCTGAGGCTGCTGTTGGCCCAGGTGTCCTGAGGGGGCAGTTGGTGGGGGGAGAGGGCAGTTTACTCTTATGCCTGCATACGGGGTGGGTGGGGGAGCTGCAGCCTTGCTGTGCATTGCCTCCAGACAGGAGTTGTTTGTACCACGCCCCGCATTGCTCTGGTGAGGAGCGGCGGGTGGCCTGCCATGGCGCGAGCTGCAGTATCGGGTGATGGGCAGCAGGGGGAGCCCAAGCTCCACCTGGCCCCGCAGCAACACGCCCATGCGTGGCTGGGGCAGGGCAGCTGAGCCGAGGGGGGAGCAGGCCAGTGCCGGGGGCGTCCCTTAAGGCCTAGGGCCGGGGCCTGCCCCCGCCCCATGTAGAGCCAGGCCAGCCCTGACACTTTGCTTTGACTTGTGCCAGCGACAAGTGGCGCCCACCCACTTCGGCTCGGGTCGCTGCCGGCGGGAGGGGCGGGCTTTGCCACAGCCGGCACCTGCCCTGTGGGGGGGGGCTACACTGGGCGGAGAGGATAGAGTCACCAACTTTCTGCTTGCAGAAAACCGAACACCCTTGCCCCGCCCCCTGCCCCAAGGCCCTGCCCCTTCTCCAAGGCCCTCCACCCACTCACGCCTTCCCCCCACACACACACTCATTTTCACCAGACTGGTGCAGGTGGGGGCAGGGAGGTGAGGGCTCTGGGGTGGGGCCGGGGATGAGGGGTGCAGGAGGGGGCGCTGGGCTCGGCCGAGGGGTTCAGCGTGAAGGAGGGGGTGGGTTATGTGGGCTCTGGGAGGGAGTTTGGGTGCGGGAAGGGGTTGGGGTGCAGGCTCTGGGAGGGGGCTCAGGGCTGGGATACAAGAGGGGGTTCAGGGTGCAGGCGCTGGGTGGCGTTTACCTCAGGCGGCTCCCGGAAGCGGACGGGATGTCCCTGCGGCACCTAGGCGCAAGGGTGGATCCACACGCTGCCCTCGCCCACGCAGCTCCCATGGCAGGCCAGGGTTTCCAGCCAATGGGAGCTGCGAAGCCAGCACTCGGGGCAGGGGCAGAGCACGGAGCTTCCCTGGCCGCCCCTGCACGTAGGGGCTACAGGGCCACACCGGCTGCTTTTAGGTGCTGCAAGGTTCCTGCCTTAGCCCCGCTATGCCGCTGATTGGACTTTTAACGGCCAGGGTCCCTTTTTGACGGGGCGTTCCAGTCAAAAACCGGATGCCTGGCAACCTAGAAGTGGCCACGAGGCTCAAACCACCTGGTGGGCTTCATCGCCTCACGGCTCAGCGGCCCGGCTGCTGGCACCAGGGGTGGGCTGAGGCGTCTTCGAGTGGGGAGCTGTGTATGTGCCTGACGGGTTAAAGGAGCAATGGGAGAGACTGCTGCTCCCCAGAGCGTCTGATGCTTGCGCTGCTGTGCAGGAGGGGAGACGTCTCTGAGCCTTCTGCCCCACAACCCCTCGAACTCGGGGCCTGTTGGAATGAGCTGGGGTGGGAGCAAGGGAGAAGTGAGGGGGCAGCCTATCGCCCTGTGCCCCTGGCTGGAATCAGAGTGGCTCCATGGGGTGTGTGCACCACAGGCCCTATAGTGCTGAGCTAACGTAGATTCTCCTTTAGCCCACACAGTAGGGGCCTGGCCTAGATGGGCAGGAGGGCCCTACGCGGGGGCCACTGGTTGAGGGGCAGCACAATATGTGCCCCAGGCGGATGTGGACTTGCAGCAGTCTAAACCAGGCCGCCATTGTTACTATCATGTTAGCACAAGCCTCTCTGGCCTTTAGCTGGGACCCCTGTGCAGACCCCTCACCTGGTATCTGGTGGAGCAGGAGTTCCCTTTGAGTACGTTACATCTGTTTTCAACCTGCACTCCTCCCAGCACCGCTGCGGGCTGGCCGGGTGCTAGAGCGCTGGATGGCAGGGAGCGGGGCCACTTGAGCAGCTGGTCCCACTTGAGCCCCCGGAGAGCTGGCCCACCGCACGGGCGCCTCTTCCTTGTTCCCGGCTCCTCAGTTACACCAGTGCTAGACGTACATAGACTTTGCCAGGGTTACTTTTCCTTGGTAGCTAGTGCCGTGGTTAGGGGTTTGGGGGACCCTGACGGAGGTGGGGATACAAGATGGTTTGAGCCAGGAGATAATTTGACAGTGCCTCATTGTAGAAGAGCCATGGGTTTGCTTACGGGGCCTTTCTGCGACCCCATCCTGCCCCAGGTAGAATGTGGCCACAACCCACCGATGTCAGGGCCTGATTAAGACAGAAGAGGTGGGGGCACCTGTAGGAAGTGACGGGTTATGGAGCGGCAATCTCCCGGGGTGTCAGCCGGCAGAGTTCTGTCCCACCCAGGTGGGATTTGTCACGGACAGAGCTGAGCCGGCACAAGGCCATAGCATAGCCAGAGCTAGCCCAGCCGAGCTGCGCTGGTGCCAGCATGTTCCTTGGACTAAGCTGCGTCCACACCAGGAACGCGTGGCCCGTAGAGATACCGCTTCAGCCACGCGGGCAGAGCGCTCCTCATGACCTGGTCTCGGTTCTCTGCCTTGGGGCAGCCAGCTGCAAGCTGAGTTTTCAAACAAAACAGCTGCGTGTCTGCTGGGGGCCTGGCTGCATCCTTCCAACAGTCAGCTGCAGGCCCCGATCACTGCTGGATGGAAGCTCCATCAGGCCAGGGAGCAAGCCCAACTTGTCCCATTTTCCTTGGGACTGCAAGGGGTGACGATGCTGGAGGCAGCTCTGTGGTGGGGGAGCTGGGACCACCCAAAGGGCTGCAAGTACAGTTTACCCCAGAGGCACAAAGTTCAGGGTTTCTCAACCTTTTTGATCGCAGGGACTGGCTTGCTGCCTTCCTAAACGGTCAGGGAAATCTCAGGGACCGGCGCTGGTCTGCAGATGGGTTGTGGAGAAACAAAGCACCAGTCCTGGGAAATGCAACAAGCTGGTTCCATGCACCACATGCCCTCCGGTGGCGGCTCCATCCAAGGGTTTGCCGCTCTGCAAGCTGACGGGGTCACTCCATTGGTGGCAGGAGTAAAGGCCACAGCCCCTAGGCCCCGAGCCAGGGAAGTATTTGTGTACAAGTCTAACTTCGTGTCACCCGCTCCCGTGTTCCATTCCCCACTGGTGAGTACTGGGGATGGGGCATTACACACCCAGCTCCCACCAGCCCCACTGCACTGCCCTACGATCCAGCAGCCAGCGCGGCAGCTCAGCCGCCCCACCCAAACTCCCCCCCCGCAAGCCGTGCACAAAAGGCACACAGAAGAATGAATCTGAAAAACACAAATCTTTTATTTCGCTTGTCTCTGACAAACCCTCCCTTCCAGGGGCACACGATTCCGGGCACAAGAGGGACCTGAGCGAAGCACACGTGCGACAAAGAGCATCGGCCCAAATTCCACTTGCAAAACCCTGGAAGAAAATTTGAAAAAGGGGCAGCCCGAGCAGAGCCCGCCCCAGCCGCACCCCTCCCTGCCAGGAAGTGCCACAATCCCGGGTCCCAGAGGGCAAGTCCCTGGGCCGGTTTTGTACATTCTAGCCCAGGTCATTCCAAGGCCGGTTTCACTTGTTCTGTTTTTTTTTTTAATTGCCGTTTACAAACCCCCCTTTCACACATTGATTTTCCTTTTGGCTTTGTTACTTTTCCCCGGCCAAGCCTGGGATCCCCAAGGGCCGTGGTCCCTCTTGCCTCGAGCCAGCAACCTGGGCCGGTTTGCGCAGTTGCGGGAGATGGCATGGCCTCTTCCTGTCTTCCCCACCAACCGAGCTTAGCCTAGTGCACGTCCCCCCGCTCTGGTCCTGACTGACGTGAGCAGGTGCTGGGATCCCACAGGAGCCGATCGCAGGCTCGGACTACACCTGCTCGCGTTCTTCATCTTTGCTTTTTCCTCCAGTCTGAACAGCTCAAATGAGGACTGACTAGGCTGCAGGGCTCCTACAAAGTGCATGATCATGCCTTCCCCTTCGTCAATGGGGCACCGTGGGACCTGGCACGTGGTGCCTCACCCCCCCTTCGCGATACACTCGGCCCTCTTTGGAAGGAAGTGCTGGCTCAGCTCATGCACGGGCCCTGGTGCATTCTTCCCCCACAGAGCAGCTGTCTGCCAGGGCACTGGGGCTAGTTTGCAATGCAGGCTCAGTACCTGTAATCAACAGTGGACAGGGTAGGCGACAGGGACTAGAGAAAGGGCTGGTCTGACACCCGTTCCTGCCCAAGCTTTGTGGTCTTAGCCAGGACCTCAGGTTCCTAAAGGAACCCACGAGGGCCAGACAAGGGACAGGAAATCCAAGCAGAGGGACCCCCAACCCTGCTTCAGTGCAGCTGCAAAAAGCATCAGTACCTACAAAGACCCCTAGTGCATGAACCTGTCAGTGTCCCACACGGTCAGAGAAATGTGTAACATCACGCAGCCTGGGAAACAAACAAGCTACATTCATTGCCCGATGGCCAGCAGGTTCACACAGGTCAGAGCTAAATTCACCTCTAGGGAGGGGGATGGCTCAAGTCCCCTGAATTGTGACTGCCTGTACAGAGGGCATGCGGGCGTTCGGAGTGTGGCTAGTACGTAGCACATCTTCGGTCCACCCAAATATCTGATACGTATTCCCTGTTCATCTGGCTCAAAGAACGTATCCATTGCATTGGGAGAACACACCGCTCCGTCAGGGCACTCGCTGCAACCAGTTACCTTCCCCCGCCGCACAAAGCCGGAGGCGACACCTCTGTGAGCAGCAGCAGTGAAGCTAGAATTGGTGAAAGGTCCCCGCAGGGCAGGGAGCTGGTGGCCAATCTCTGGGGCGAGGGTGGCACTGCCAGCCAAAGCCGTTCAAAGCCACGAAGGCGCAGAAGCCTCCGTCACTTGCATTTGCCATGGCCAGGTAGGTAGCATTGGCAGCTCTGTTCTCCCGCAGCATTAAGCTCGCTTGTATCAAGTGCCACCAGGGAAAGGAAAAAGGCCACCAGGATTCCTTGGGCAGCCACCTGCACCGACCCTCCCCGTGCAGGGACCCATGGGTGCTACAACCTGGAGCTGAGACAGCAATTCCAGCCAGCTGCGTGTCACAGCCCCATCCCCCATCACACCCACGGCCCTGCCAGCAGGGCCCCATCTCCACTTGATACCCGTCAAGCCAGGACCCTGCATAGCAAACCACAGAGGGGTTTTCCCACTGGGCAGGGAAGAGACTATTCTCTGCTTTATGGCTTAGGAGCACGATCAGCACCCATGGGATGACCCCGCTCCCTCCAGCCTGGGCCGACCTGCCCCCTGCAGGCCGGTCCCATGCTCAGCACGCTAGCTTTAGGCAACATTTCTACCACTTCCCCATAAATACTATTTCCAGTGGATGCGCCCGTTGGACCTTTAAAAGACACCAGGCCTGCACCTGGGGATGTAGGATTATCGTATCGCTGAGACCCGCCACGCACTAGAACTGCAACCCTGCCAAAACCAGCCTGAGGCCCAGACAAACTCCCCCCGCCAGGAGAAATCCTCGAGTGTGCAGTGCTGTCACCTGGGACAATGCTAGGATCCCACCCTACTTCCACTGAGCCGGGGAAGCAGGAACCGAGCCCTACGGGAGGAGGTCCTGGGAATTCGTGGGGAGATCTTCCAGCAAAAGGGGATTAACATGCTGAAGAAAGCAATGAAACAGTCATTAACGCACCAGGCCCAGTGGTGCCAGCAGCACTGACCCTGCTGCTTGGGCAGCCCCTTCCCTGGGATTATGCTTCTCCACTTTGCCCGTGGCTGCAAGAGGCACACCCCTCCCCTCCCCTCCTCACTTTGTCTGGGGAAATCACAGTGCAAATTCGCTTTCTTAAGAAAAGTGAGCTGTGTGCTAGTGAGCAGGGCCAATCCCAGGCCCCAAACTCCCTGATTTACCCTCAGAATTGGCACACCACAGGCAGGGCTCAAAGGGTCCCTCAAAGGGAGACTTCTGGTGACTACAGACCAGCACCAGCTTCGAACCTGTGCCCCGGCGGCGGACAAGGGTTAGTGCGAGGTCCTCGCTACACCATGCAGTGTTCTACCCTGAGAGAAGCCGGGGGCATGCGACTCTCCAGCCTTCCCCGGGAGCTCCCCCAGAGACAGCGGGTTCTGCGGGATCCAGTAGCTCTGAGTGGCTGGGAAGCTCAGGAATGGTGGGGCAAGGGGCGAATATGGACCCACGGAGCTTGAGAGGGAAGAAAAAGGCTTTAGGAGGAAAATAGCCCAGAACAGCAGAGCTCAGAATGATCCGTCCTGGAGCGTGGGTGGGTGAGCTCCAGTCTATAGAACCGTGCTGGGATACTGCCCCACCGGCTGCTCCGCTGCCTTGCTGCCCGGGGCCCTCTGCGCCAAGCCCCACATCACCTTGCTCTGAGTCTGAGCACCGGAGCTGGCCAAGGAGGCACCTGGCCAGGGGTTCTAGCTGGGGATAAGTGAGGGGAAGGTTTGGCAGCAGATTCATAGAATATCAGGGTTGGAAGGGACCATCTAGTCCAACCCCTGCTCAAAGCAGGACCAATCCCCCACTAAATCATCCAATTTTTTTGCCCCAGATCCCTAAATGGCCCCCTCAAGGGCTGAACTCACAACCCTGGGTTTAGCCGGCCCATGCTCAAACCGCTGAGCTCTCCATATGATCCCACCAGATCAGCTGAGAAATAGAGCGGGCACCAGCTGGATCTGGGGTTTGCATCCCGACCCCTCTCCCCTGGAAGGATCCGGCATAGGCCCATGGCTAGTCAGAGCCCCCCCTACAAAGCCATCCTAACACTAGCTCTCTGAACCATCCTGAGCCAGGGGTCTGGAGACCGGAGGCAGGAGATCAAGAATGATCGGACGAAGCTCCCATGAGCGGAGCCTGACAAGAACCAAGGACAGCACCAGCTGAGCAAGCAGGAGGGAGCTGCAGCCATTAAAGTCTCTCCGGCCATCTTGGGGAATTCTTCAGGGGCCGTAAAAGATGGCGGCAATTCTGAAACAGGTGTCCCAGGACTTTGCTTTCCCGGCCCTCCCCTCAGACTGTTGCCCAGCAGAACTGGCAAAACTTCCAACCGAGTTTTCAGTGACGTTTTTCAACAATGGGAAAACGCCACTGAACATTCAGAGAACCATTAAAATGCTTTAAAAAATTCTCAGGATTATTTTTTTTTTACTTAAAAAATAAACCAAACCAACCTCCCCCCCCACCCCAGTTTGATCACATGGGCAGCTGTAGCATCATCAGGCTAGAATCCCCACAGCTCACCCCCGCCCCCAAAACATACAGTCACCCCTCCACACCCACACCAGGCCAGGAATCACTGCGCTAGGCATTCCCACACCACAACCCTCCCGCTACTGTTTTCTTCCTGTGCTTCCGACCAATCAGAGCTCTATTAATGGGTGGGGGAGGGGGGCTGATTTTTGTTTTAAACACACCCAAAGAGGGCAGGTTTGTGCAGGCGATTGCTACACCCCAAATCCATGCAGGATGGAAACCAGGACACAGCGTTCCTCCATGGAGTCACTTCTCAGCCAGACACACGAGATGAACACTCCCAAACTACGGCCCTGACTCCCAGTCCTGCACCTTTCACATTCAGGAGCTCCCCCGCAGCATTCACACTAATACAGACCTGAGCAGGGCTCCCTTTCCCCCACCCGAGTTACAAACACACACGGGCCTGCCACCACTCCTAGCCAAGTCTCCCAGCACCATACACCCATCTGTGAATGAAGTCTCATGTTGTCCCCTGGAGGTAGCCAGCATTATCCTTGTTTTACACAGGGGTGAGGTGCACTGGATCCCCACTCCCACTGAAACAGATGCAGGAGGATTGATTGCCCAAAGCCATGCAGCAAGTCTGTGGGTGTGGTAGAAAAACAACCTGGATCCGTGCACCCCATCAGATCGTCCTCCCTGGTTACGGAACACCCATTCCCAGCCCGGCACTTGGCTACGCCAAGCCCTCACCTCCCTGGAAACAATCAACCTGCTGAAGCAGATGGAACATGTAAACTTCCTCCTGTCCCTACGAAACCCCTGGAGATTGGAAGCACTCGCGAGGGGCCAGCCCTGCAGACCAGTTCTCACCACGGTGACCTGCCACACCCGTGACTGGAACGCTGCAGGTTTCCAGGGCTGGACCCACAGCAAGCAGGAGCAGCCCTGCTGCGACAAGGGGGAGAGCAGCGCTAAAGGAGGCGGGACCCTGCCCAAGCAGGGCCTTGAAATGCTCAAGATCACTTTCCCCTTTGGCTTTTTAAGCCGGGTGCCAGCGCAAAGCGGGACGTGCTTTAGGCAGCTGCCAGCAGAACAAAATAGCAACAACACAAGGCAGTGACCTATGCACCAGACCGGGAGCCGCGAAGGGAAGACTTTCTCACACTGACTCCTGTGGCTTTGGGCAAGGCCCGAGCCCACTGCCTCAGTTTCCCCATCTTAATGATTGTTGCTGACAGAGCTGCTGGGAGATTAATTGATGTCTGGCGCGTGGTGTAGAAGGGCTGAGTCACTGAACTATTTCCAAACGTGTTTCCGTGCAGGGGTTTCTGCAGATAGCCTATGGCCAGGGCAACCTCCACACACACGCTTTCTCTCCTCCAAGCCACCCTCCACACACACTGTACCCGGGGAGGGGGGGGGGGAAGGGGAGAGCGAACAGTTTTGAAAATTGCACAAAGTCCCCACATTTAATCGGTCAATTGTTCACCCACAGCCTAGGACCAAGGGCTAGTGGCGATGATCAACTTACAAGCAGAAGGGAGGGGGGACAGATGGGGCGCATGGGGGTATTCAAAAGTCATGAGTGTGAAAAAGCCCCTCATCACCTGCCCCGGTGAGGCAAAGCGAGGATTGTGCCAAAGGGAAACTGTCAAATCGTTTACCATTAAAATACCAGGAGAGAGCCCATGGTGAAAATTATTCTAAGCCTAGAGAGGCCAGGGGCCCGACGTGAGCTACCTTAAGAGCGGCCTGGATTTTCAGTGCTGAAAATCAGGGCCCAAGAAGGCAGCTCCGGTCAGTTGCCCGAAAATCGCGGGTTACTCTCGAAAGCCTTGTCCTTGTGATTATCACTCCGCCAGCGCTAGTCGCAGCCCAAGCACGTGGCCGCAGGAAGAGCAGCAGAAAACCTGCCTCCCCGGGCTGTGCTACAAGTCTCTGCTGGTGCACAAGTTTCAGCAAGAGTGGCTCTCTGGACACCCCCCAAGTCCCACCTACACTGTGGGCGTAAGCGGGATTTCAGTGGTCTCCTTAGCACCACTTAATGTACTTAAACTAGACACCTGCCTAAGCACCCTGCCGAGGCCCACAGCTCTGGAGTATTCCCCCGGCACAGACCGTACTGCCCAGGCACAAAAGGCAGCAGAGGAGTATTCATTATACATTCAGAATAGGGAGCTTTTTCCATTCAAATCCACCTCAGCCGGGCCACTTGGGGCACAGACAATTGGTTTTGTTTACAAAAAACCAACAACAACAGACATAGAATTGAGCCAGGCTACAAACATTGAAAAAACAATCTTACAAAATACAGCTTCGTAAACACACGCACACACAGACTCGCATCTTTGCATCCAGCAAATGGATTTTGGGGGGATTATCTCGGACGTTAACGACCAAGGCAAATTCCAATGGACGTTGGCCGGGTTCTTGCAGTCAAGACTGCAGGGCAAACACACACAAAAAAATGCACGAAGGGAAAACTACATTTCCCAGCAACCAGTGCTGCTTGCTTATAAACAGGGTGTCCAAAGGGGGTAGGAGGTGATGGGAAAGAGAAAGGATTCTGGGAAATATAGTCCCTACAGAAACAAATCTAGAGACATGCTTTTGGAAAGCAAGGAGATGAGGGTTTTCTCCATCTCTCTCTCGTGCCCTGGGAGGGAATATTTAAAATACAACCTTTAATATATTTTATTAAAAAAACACACACACAAAGAAAAGAATAAAGAAAACTCTTTGTGCAGTTTGGCTTAGTGCAAATGGGCGCGTTGACGCAGGCACTTCCGGGCGCTCTCGTTGCCACGGGAGTCGGGGTTTTTTTTTTTTCCTTTATAAAAAAAAACAAAAAAAAACTTTAATACCTCATTCTGGGTGGCCACAAGTCCCCCGTCTCTGCACCCGGAGAGCTGGGCTCCGCACGCAGAGGGGCGACAGAACAGGTGCGGCTGGGGGAGGGGCAGGTAGTGAGCCACATTTTCCACGCAGAAAAGGACGGTCAAGAGAGGCCGCTTTTCCCAGGCACAGCTTATTCTTAGGCAGGGTTACCCCCTCCTCCCCCCCGTGTCCATCGTGGACACAGAGCTCAAAGATCTGACCACACAAGCATCTTCAAATGGTTGAGGCATCTGTGGCTGAGTCCATCTCACCCCCCCCCCCAATCGAGAATTCCCTGCAGGAGTGGGGGAGATAACAGCACCGTCCCCCCTTGCCCCAGGGACGCTGGGTGTTTTAGCCCACCAGAGTCAGGACTCAGATCGGACATGGCACCTTAAAACCAAGAGATAAAAAAGAAGGGTAGAAAACCGCTGCTTGGAACCTCGGCCCATCCCAGCGGGCTGCAGCGGGAGGCCGAGCTGGGTCCTTTTCTTGGTCTAAAGTCCATTTCGGTGGCGAACTGTGGTCGGCGCGATTCCAAAGCAAAAACCACGAGGCAAAGGAGCTCTCGGCTTCCCGTGCGTGCACAGCACCAGGTCCGCTCCCCTCCTTTCCCCCGGCGCAATACGGAGCTGGCGGCTGATACTGGCCTCCCACTGCCGGATCCCAGCGCACGGACATCCCTGGCTCGGCCAGATCCCTGAAGGCAGTCAGACGGTGGGAGGAACGTAGTGAAGGAAGAGAAAATAGCTTATTTCCAAAAGAGAGTGATCAGAAAAGCTCCGTGCGTACGTGTGTGTCAGGGTAAAGCTTCCAAGAGGCAAGAGCACGACGCTGGCGGGGAGGAGACAGGACAAGGCTCCGCATAAAAACAAAAATATAGCGCCAGACGAATGGCTCTCAGGGGCCCGATCCCGGAGGAAACCTGACGTAAGATGGCGTTGGGAGCCGTGTCGCACCAATCGGGGTGGAGGGGGAATGAGTTTTTCCTTTTCAAGGACAGCCCCTTCCTTTCACCCCTCCCCGCCACGCCTAGCATCACCGCCCTACAATTCCTCAGAGCAACTGCAGGCCAAGGGGCTCCTTTTTCCTGAGTCCGGGGCAGTTTCCGGCTAGCCACAGCCGAGTCCCTGGGGGCCAGGAGGTGGGGTCGGGGCTCGAAGGCACCTGAAGTGCAAAACGTGCAAGAAGAAAGCGTTGACGCTGACTTTCCAGAGCTCGGCGGTTCCAATGGAGCCAGAGGGGCCTGGGGGCTCGGGCAGCGGGGCCAGGTGTGGGGGGCAGGGGGACGCTCAGTCGACGAACCTCTGACAAGCCTTCTTCCACCGGCAGGCTGTGCACCACATGTCCCGGTTCTCCATCCCGTACACCTTGCGGCACTTCTTGGCCTCGCCGCGGGGCTTCCTAGGAGAGAAGAGCAGACGGGCCCGTCAGAGCGGGGCTCTGCCTCGGAGAAGGGCGCGCGAGCAGCACCCTCAGCGCGGGAGACAGGACCCAGCGGGGACACAGGCCAATGCACTCCCGGGGCGCTGCTGTCCCAAGCCAACGGAGCCAAGTCCTCTGGCCGGGAGCGGCGTCCCCGGGATCTTGGAGACCCGACAGGGTAGGACTGAATGTGGAGCGTTAGCAAGAGCCCACTGGCTCCCAGCACAGAGAGCTCCCATGTCTCTAGAAGCATTTAACTGGCACGGTCCTGCCCCGCCGCGCAGTTCTCCTCCCGCCCCAGGCTTCCCCCCAGTTGTGCGGCGGGTGAAAGGAGTGGGGACGTGGGGGAGGCCGGGACACGGTTAGACACCAGACCTCAGAACGTGGTATCTGTTCAGTGGCGTGAGCAGACTATGCAAGGCCTTGCCAAGCTGGTGGCTCGTCCTCACATGCCCCGTCTCCCCGAGGCCCTGTCCCAGAGACGCCTTCACCTGGTACGCTCACGGCACAAGCTGCACATTAACTTGGTGTCACGATCCCTTGAGCTGCCGGAGCACCGCTGGGCCGCCTCCCCGGGCAGCACATAGCCACAGTCCAGACACAGGCCCCTGCCCCAAGGGTCTCCCTCCCCTCCTGGCCTGTGGAGAATGGTAAGACAAGGCGGCTACTGGAGCTGGGGAGGGATGTGGCTCCCAGAGCAGCCCCAGGTGGTCTTTTCTCTCCACCCGTCTATGGGGCACGGATGGGATTAAACGCTCACACACCTGAAGTGTCCAGCTGCCCCTGAGCTCGGCTCCTTCCCAGGCTGGCAGCGTGGCTGGAGGGGATGGCTTAGGTGTCTATGCATCAGGGACAACGTCTCCCTAAAGCCCCAGGTTCCAGCTCCAGGAGGATCAAGTCGGGCTGTGATCCGGCAGGAATGGGCGGTTAGCACTGCCCCAACTTACCTGGTGCCCGTGGCTGGCTTTGGCACAGAGGGGGGCGCCGCGGTGACGGTCGGGTGAGGGATCTGCGGCCGCTTCTCTCCCACGCCGACGGGGCGGAGCGCAGTCAGGCAGCCCTGGGGACGACACAGCCCACGGTGAGACCCTCCTGTCACAACCAGCACTCACAGGCCTGGCAGCCGCGAACCCGCCAGGGCAGAGCAAGCATGGGGGCGAGAGCAGACAGGTCGCTGCCGGGCAGCGGCACAGACCTGCCCACGCTGGGATCTGCCCTCTGGGGACACTAGCCAATGGGAGGGCAAGGAGCCTTCGGCCCATGGTCCCCACACTGAGACCTGGGAGCCGAGATCCGGGTGCCAGGCACCAGAACGCACCCTATGCCCTTCCGCCTGGCACAGGCGAGGAGGCCTCATGGGGCCAGATGGAAGCAGTGACGGTCCATTTCAGCCTATGGCAGATGCCGCAGCTCCCTTGGTCTGCAGGTCTCGCAACCCACACGTGTCCTGCCACTGAAGAGGACGGGAAGGGCGAGCCAGAGCCACGGAAGCGTTAACGCTTGGGGTGGGGGAACCTGGCTCTGCCTCCAGGGTCAGGAAAAGAAGACCGGTTCCCTTCTTGTGGTTAGGGGAAAATCGGCGCCACCCGTTTCGTGGCCTAGTGGTTAGAGCAGGGCCCTAGTTCTGCCACAGACTGTGCAAGCGTGTGCAACTCATGGCGCCTCTGTGCCTCAGTTTCCCCACATGTAAAAGGAAAACACCACCCGACCTCACACAGGGCACAGGCAGCTTAGCACGTGTGTATGAAGTGTCCTGCAGTCCCTAGGCAGGAGGCACCAGGCGAGCCCAAACATTATAACCGAAGATCTAGGAAAACAGGGAACTTTTCTACCTGGCACCATTTCACAGCCCAAAAGTTTTCCACTTTTCACACCACACCCTGCAAGGCAGAAGCTGTAGCGTGGAAGCCGAGTCCTGCTGGCCGAAAGCAGCATTTTGGAGTCTCTGCTCTGGAATGTGACGGTTCTAAATGCAACCGGGTCCCAATTTCATGCAAAACCAGCCCAGGTTCAAGCCAAAAACACCCTGTCAAAGGCCACAGGCTTGTCGTGAAACGGGACTTGTTTTGCAAAACGGAGACAAGACAGACGCAAACCCCTGCAGCGCACGGCGTTCCAGATCAGACGCCAGCCTGCACGGCACACGCACTTCCACACGGCACATGCACAGAACCAGGAAATTGCTCTGTGCCTCCCTCCTTTGCCTCTGATGGACTTGGAGCATCCCTCCTCTCAGGGAGCGTATTGTGCTTGGCACCTCTGGGGCAGGGACCCGTAGACGGGACGGGTTTGGAGAATGATCTGGGCTGTTTTAGTGCAGCCGCATGTCCCACTGAGGTAACAGTATGGGCCATTCTAGGACTCCGGCTGCCTCTCTCCTGCCAGCCAACACAGGGGGTGGGGGGGCTGTCTGGTTACTCACCGGGGACCCTTTAAAAACAACTGGTGACTGTGGCGCTGGGGGTGGCTGCCAGGAGATGCTGAAGCCCATCCCGCCAGGCAGGGTTTTCGAAGCAGCTGAGATGCTGACTGGAGCCATCGCCTGAAAGCCACAAACGTAACCAGGAGAGGATGAGACACATCTGGGCACGTGGACGGGGGGCGGCCAGGAGAGCTGGGGAGGGAGATGGCCCCCGTTGCCCCAAAGGCGACATGCTGCGGGTCAGTGGCAGCAAAGGCTGGCAAGACCTCCCCGGCGTGGGGCCCAGCTCTGGCTAACACAGCACTATGCCCGCATTGCCCAGAGGGGGCAGAGCTCTGGACAGGCCTGACAGACAGCATCAGTGCCAAGAGACGTCACAGGCATCTGAACGGGTCCCCACCTGCCCATCCGGCGGGCGTGCTCTGCCCAGCTGGGGCAGGGCCACCACTTCATCCGAACGCTCCAGCGGCACAGGGGAGGGAGGGGGGTCAGGAGAGATGAGCAGAGGGAGTCCAAGTCCAGCACGGTTTTGGCATTAAATGCGCTCTCAGAACCTTCCTGCCACGGGATGTTTCGGCTCCCAGGTCTGCGTGGGGCTTAGGGGCTGCCCATTCACTCCAGGGTCCTGCCTCCCACTGGCGCATGCCACACACTTGAGAGCCCCCCAAATACCACCCGGGGTGGGCAAGGAGGGACCATCCCCAAAGCCCAGCTGCTGAGATATTTCTGCCCCAAAAAACGAGGCGCGACAGCCCTTGATCATTTCTACCCTGCAGCTGCTGTTTCGTCTTTTGTCCTCCCTGAAACTTTCCAGATCTTCAGCCAGCCTCAAGCTGGACTGTGACTTCACCCACGTTTCCACACGTGCCCCTGGCTGCGCCTGCAAAAGCGTCCAGGCCGCCACCTGGTGCGTCCAGATCAGACAGCCTGGGTCCAACGGCCTGACTCACACACACAAAACTGGAGCAAACACGCTTCTGGGAGCACGGCCAGTCGTGCGAGCAAAGATCAGAGGCCAGACTGAGCCTTTGTCCCACTAGGCAAACCTGCCTCCTGCAGCGGTGAGTTCCACAGGCTCACTGCAGCACCCTGCGTAACACAAGCGTTTCCTTCCCAACAGGGAGACATGGTGGGGGCCCATGCTCCAAAGGCGCCTCCGATACCCCAACCACTGCCTCCTTCCACAAATACCATCTGGGAGCCTTGTTTGAAAACGTTTGCTGCGCAGTCTGAGGCCAGTGGAGGAAAGTTGCACCCTGTTCTAGGGACACTCGGCAGGGCCGACGCGGGAGACGTCAATGGATTCGCACTGGGCTGAGCCCGGGAGGGTCTCAGCTCAGGGACCGAGGGGCCCACACATCCCAGCATGCATTACTCTACCATCTGTGTCCCTCTTCCCCACCAATGCGGTCTCACCTGCTTTTCCACATGGCCCACCTGATAGGCGTGGTCCGTGTGGACATGGCACAGGCTCGTTGGAGCTGAATGACTCAGAGAAGACTCCACAGAGTCCTCGGGCTTCACCAGCACCGGCGGGGTTCGCTGCACCTCCAGGACAGGGAAGGCCGGGGGCACCGAAGAGGTGGGCGAGACAGGGGTCAGGCTGGACAGCCCGTCTGTCAGGGAGTCCACGTTGACGTCCAGCTCCGTGTAGTAAAAGTCCTCCTCGCCGTCGCTCTGATCCAGGTCGGCTTTGCGGCTGCACAGGGAAAGCGGAGTCAGGCGCTGGTGGCATTTCCAGCCCTGACCCAGCCACGGGGGCAAGGCCAAGGGGCCTGCCTACCTCCTGGGAGCATCCCACATGCGGTTGTGTTGAGGGATAGCAGCACCTGGAGGGGTTTGCTGCTGGTCACTAGCAAGGCATTGAGAGAGACAGCCCAGGCTGGAGAGCGTTAAGGGGGCCCAGCGGGGATCCCGTCACAGTGGCGCAGCGAGCAGGGTGAAATACGCAGCTTGTTGTACTGAGCAAGATTTGCACTTCATGCATTGGTGTAGATGTTAAGTGAGGCTTTAAGTGTGGTGGCTAAGCACAGTCAGGAGGAGGCTACCGGTTTGTTATCTTTTGTTTGCTTATTTCGGGAAAGGGAAATAAGGATGGAAAATGAGTGCAAGCAGTGAAGCTATTGCAAAGTTGGAGCTTTTCAGACTGCAGGTTGCAGAAAAAGAAAGAGAACACCAGAGAATCTTGGTACTAAAGAAACTGGCCATGGGGGAGAAGGAAAGAGCAAAGAGAGAGAAAACGCGAACTGGACCTCCTAGAGAAGCAGAACCAGAAACCACCGACCCCCAATCATTCCCATCCCTCCAAAACCCCACAATTGGGACCATCTATGGCCTTCATACAACAAGGATCCTGCTCGCTGCGGCACATCCATCCTAGCCAACAACACTGGAGGGCCAGCAAGTGAGCCAGAGAGACTCCACGCCCAATCACCCCACTGATTCGGGATGGGAGGGGATTGCTCAGTGATCTCTCTGGCTGATTAAGGGAAGGGATGGAGCGGATGGACTCCAAGACAGGAGGCTGCAATGCAAGGCTTCCTCAATGGCAGACGTAAAGGCAGGAGGGGGGGAGACGAGGAAGGGAGAAGTAACCTGGAAGCAACCAAACATGGACGCAAGAGACGTGGGGGAAAAAATTGGGGGAGGAGCTTTGGCAGAGCCCGCCCTGCCCATAGGACATAATTCCTTCCTTCCCGGCCCTCCTCCTACAGCACTGGCTGCTGGTACCACCCGGAGCACTGCAGGACCCAGCGCACCCTCACACCTACCCGAGGTGGACGGTTCGGATGTGCTTCTGCATCCCCGAGGAGCTGCTCAGAACCTTGCCACAGCTTTTCCACAAGCACTTGAACATCACCTTGGTGGAGTTCTTGGGGAAGAGAGGGAGAGAGAGAATGAATGAGGGTCACAGCTCCCACTGGGGCCCCAGGCAGCCCCGCTTCATGGGGCTCAGACCCCCACCTGGAAAGGGGGCCACGGCACTTAATCCCACAGGCTGGGCTGAGTGTGCGTGGGGAGGGAATGTGGTCCAGTGGTTGGAGCAGGGAACAGTGAGAACTGCCCGTGTCACCAGGTCCCTCTGACTTGGGTGAGCTCCTGAACCGCTCCCCCAACTGTAACATGGGCAGTTACGCTCCCCTCTCTGGGGGGAGTTTGGGGCATTATCTTCGGTTTGCAAAGCAGCTGGGGCGCCCAGAGGAAAGGTGCTAGGCAGGGCTTAATTTGTACTGAAAGAGGTGCCGGGGCTCAAGTAATTTTTTTACATTCATAACTGATGCCGCAAGCCCAGAGGCGCTGGGGGGCTCTGAACGGCCAAGCCCAGAGGCGCCGGGGGGCTCTGAACGGCCAGGCCCAGAGGGGCCGGGGGGCTCTGAACTGCCAGGCCCAGAGGGGCCGGGGCTATGAGCTGGCATAAATTAACCCCTGGGGCTAGAAGAGGGGCTGCAGTGGGGAAAGCCCCGCTCGCTGCAGGGATGCAGTTCAAACTGCTCCGGCTGCCTGTTCGCTCCCGCGTGCCATGCAAGGCGCTGGACTCTGACGTTCTATTACAGGCTTGGCTGGAGGGTCAGAGCCAACAGTCCCTCGCTGTTACCCCGCGGGAGCGCCCCTCGGCCATGCAACCCGCTCCCCAGGCCCATCCCAAAAAGCGAGTCCGGTCAGCCTTTAAGGCCCAGCACAATGCCCAGCTCTCCTCCCCAGCCCGGCAGGGAGGGCATGTGGACGAGGAGCAGAGAAGGAGCAAGTTGATTATTGGGGGGAGGAGACGAGCTTTTTTCTCCTGCCTGCAGAGAGGCCTGAGTCCGCTTCGCCCCCAGCCCTGCTCCGGCCCAGCCCCCAGCCACAGTCCCCACCATGGCTCTGCTCCCAGCCCCCTCACCCCTGAGCCATGGCCCCACTCCCAACCTGGTTCCCGGGGTGGGGTGCAGACAGGGGCAAGGGGGGGGGCGCGACCATCAAAAGTTTGGGGACCACTGTTCCGCCGGACCCTGGGGATTCCTCCCCCCAACCGCCTTCCTCACAGCGCTGCTTTTGGACAGACCCTGCAGCCTGAGCCAAACCAGGCAGCCCCACCCTTCCAGCTCCCGTCCTCCGCACCTTCCTCTTCCGGGGAATGGGGTCTCCGAAGAGGAAGTGGGTCGCTTCGGTCTCCTCGATGCCATCGTCCAGCTGGGGGGCCGGCAGGAAGCTCTTGGCCACGTCGGTGGAGAGCGGCGGCGACGGGGTGGAAGGGGTGGAGCGGTCGCTCGGCGGGTCCCAGCTCCAGTCCCCGCTGTTGTTGCTGCTGCTGCTGTAGCTGGAGGACATGGCAGGACCCTCCTTCCAGGCCTCGCAGCTGGGCTCTGCTGTGGGGAGAGGAATTCAATCACCCACCGGTCACGGGGGTCAGCCCCAGGACACGCAGACCTCAGCCCCTTCCACTGCTCCGGCAGATAAACCAACTTCGGAGCAGAGCTCTGGGAATCCCACAGGCAGAGCCGGCCCAGGGGGCATCCGGGGGACCCTCCCAGGCAGCAAGCGCCGCGCCCACTCTGAGCTTTCATGCGCCATAGGGCAGGTTTCTCCACCGGCACATCTCCTGCAGCAGAGGCAGGTAGGTTTGTCTGCTCCCACAAGTGGGCTTTTTACAGCAGGGGCTGCTATGCTTGATGGGAACCTCAAGCCATAAAGGCCTCAACTCAACACCCCCCACCTCTGCCCTTTGTTACATGTGGCGTGGGGACGTGGGGAGGTCCCAGAGCCCTGCCTCCAGTGTCCTTCACCAGCAGATCCCAGAGCACTCGACAAAGAGGTCAGTATCGGTATCCCCCATGTAACAAATAGGGAAACTGAGGCAGAGGGAGGGCAGTGACTTGCCCAAGGTCACCCAGCAGGCCAGTGGCTGAGCCAGGAATGGAACTTGCGTCTCCTGAGTCCAGTGCTCCAGCCCTAGGCCATGCTGCCTCCCATTATTAAACCAATCTCTACTGGAGGCGAGGATGAGATTTCATGCGGAGGGCAGATTATCGCCCATCTGGTGCGGCGGGGTTCTTACGCCTTCCTCCGAAGCATCTGTCCCGGAGAGCAGCCGGCACCGGGACACAGGCTAGATGGACCTCAGGGCCAGTCCCTGTGCTCCTACGAGGGGACTCGGGGCCCTGAATTCCACTCCGGGCTCCAAGGAATTCCCCACATCATGCAGGATTTACAGAGGTGTAACCGAGAGCAGCACATGGCCCGACACCCCCGCCTTGCCCACCTCGGGGCTCAGCATCCCATCGGTACCTGGGCTGAGGGTGCCAGGCGGGTTGCCAAGCACTAGAGGGCTAGTGGACAGGCTGGTGAGAACTGCGGCTGCCATGACTTCATCTATCCCCGCCTTGCCTGACAGCTTTCTGAAAGACAGACAGAAAACGGAGAACACAGCGATTAGATCCAGCTTAGAAATTCTCTGGCCGTAACTCTGCCAAGCGCCCCAGAGCTACCCCGCAGCAGCGGGGAAAGCAGACGCCCACACGCCACCCTGACATCTGGCACCAGCCCCAGGGCGTGACGAACCGACGTTCAGTCCACCAAGAAGCCTGCTGAGACACCCGTCTGCGGGCCCCGCCCAACACCATTCCCACAGGCCACTGCGCACCCATCACCAGGCAACCATCTCGTGGCTGCTGGCTGAACCAGCCACCCAGGGGGCAAAGGCACTTCACACCCCATTTGAGTCCCGCTCCCAACCCAGGCTTGTGTGGCTCCCACTAGCCAAACACAGGGGACAGGGGCAAGATTGTGACTCCCACATTCATTCAATGAAGAAGGGGGGGGGAATTCGATAGCTGCTTTCAACTACCTGAAGGGCGGTTCCAAAGAGGATGGAGCTCGGCCCTTCTCAGTGGTGGCAGATGACAGAACAAGGAGCAATGGTCTCAAGTTGCAGTGGGGGAGGTTTAGGTTCGATATTAGGAAACCCTATTTCACTAGGAGGGTGGTGAAGCACTGGAATGGGTTCCCTAGGGAGGTGGCGGAATCTCCTTCCTTAGAGGTTTTTAAGGCCCGACTTGACAAAGCCCTGGCTGGGATGATTTAGTTGGGGTGGTCCTGCTTTGAGCAGGGGGTGGGACTAGATGACCTCCTGAGGTCCCTTCAATCCTGATATTCTACGATTCTGCTTCAGGTCTCTTTGAGCCACCACCGGCCGCTCAGGCTGGATTGTCTCCTACCCTGAAGAGCCACTTTGGGCAGGGGGGGCTCCCATCCAGCCCTCTCGCTGATGCCCCTCCCTCCTGCTGAAGGCTTGGCTCATTCCCCCCACGTGGCCTACCCCCAACCCGGTGCTCTGGGCTCCAGCGTGGTGACCCCAGGAGCAGGGCTGCTCTCAGAACCGTATCTGCCCTGGCTGTCGTGAGCCGGCTCTAAACCTGCCCGGGACAGCAAAAGCAAGGCCATTGCCTTGGCGTGTCGTGCTCTGCACCTGGGCACAGGCACGGGCGTTTACACGTGCACACGTACAGGAGGGACAGTTGCCACTGGAGGGCGTATCCTGCAACCAGGAAGGAGCCACTAACATAAAAGCAAAGGGACGAAAGAAGAGTCCCAAGTCAACTGGATTCCTGCAGCCAACAGGTTTCCAATGCACAGGCTGTCTCCCCCCCACGCTGCCCGCCGACATGTCCGACCCACGCAGAGCGTTACACTGAGAACCGACGCCCGGGCACGCTGCCCAGCTGGGAGACCAGCTGCTGGAGCGTCTCCCCAAGCCTGAGACGAGCCCGGCAGCGGGAGGACAAGGAGCGCTCGCTCACTCCTCTAAGGGTCTAGATCGCTGGATAGCGCAGAATAGCAAAGCGCACCGTGAGCTGCAAGCCAGCCTTGTGGCGTGACCAGCTGCTGCGTGATGGGGCAAGCCACAGGTTTGTGCATCCAGGCCCTCACTCCTGGGCCGGCAGGAGCTGAGGTGCCCTGGAGGGAGAAGACTACCTGTACGATACCTTGGGCAGGCCCCCGCCACCTAGCAGAGTGGCTGCCTTAGGGTGCAGGACGGGGGAACCAAAGATCTAGAGCAGCCGGTGGGTCTGGCAGTGAGCAAAACGCGTTCCTCCATCATAGGCAGGTAAACAGTGGAAGGAAGGGAAAGGGAAAGGAAAAGAAGTGAGCCCTAATGCAAAGAGGGGTGTCACAGGCAGCTGCAGGGTGAGACCCCATTAGTAGAGATCCCCAGCACCAGCCTGCCCCCACCTCAGAAGCTGCAGTCCCTTTAAAAGCCAGCATGATTCACCCTCTCCCTCCCCCCCTCAGTCTGCACCACGTGATCCACCAGACCCAGGCAGCAGCCCAGAGCGTGGGGGGGGGGGGGGGGGTTTGCACACAGGGCCTCTGACTGCCAAGTGCTTTATCTGGGTCAATGTCTAACCGAGAAAACCACGGGCGGGGGCCGGCCATGCCGAATGGGCAGAGCGGGGGAGAGAGTCTCCAGGCTGGGGAGGGGAGTGAGGACTTTTGGCTCCGCCTGCTCAGCGAGGGCAGGAGAGCAGCATTGCGGGAGAGGCTGTAAGGGGGGAGTCGCTCCCCCTCTGGGGTCACTTAAAAACACCTGGTTCTCCTCCGTGCATGATAATGCTCTGCCAGCCAACGAATTATCCCCACAACTCCCCTCCCCAGCTTAGGCAGGCAGCCATCCTCCTCCCCTCTAGATGGGGAAACTAAGGCACAGAAGGGTTAAGTGACTTGCCCAAGGAGACACAATGAGCCAGTGGCAGAGCCAGGATGAATACCCAGGAGCCCTTGTGCTGGATCACACTCTCTCCCCCGCACCCTCCCCCTTGACTGGCAGCCCAGCACCAGCTTGGTGAGTCTATCCTGCTGCCCAAGGGCCTGGAAACACTGGCTCTCTGTGAAGGGACAAGAGGCTGGCAGGGCCTGCTGAGCTCCGGGCAGCAAGGGTGGGTCATGGGCGCTAGTCCATACATGCCAAGTGCGAGCCAGCAACCCCTGCCAGGCATCACCAGCTGAGAGCCAGAAGCGGCATCACGGGGCAACAGAGCAGCTGGAGAGCTCTAGCCTTTGATTTTCTAGAGGTGGAAAAGTCACGCACAGGCCCCGTGTACAGCGCACACACGACAGAACACAACGTACGACAAAACAAAGCACTCGCCCTGCAGCGGCGTCTCCCATCCCGCAGGGCTGGGGGTGGCTCCTGGCACCAGGCCCTGTGACCTAGCCCACGGGGATTTGCTGCACTGCTCGGGTTTGGCCCATCCCTTATGGCTGGGAGACGGCCAGGCCACATCTGAGCAAGTGGGGACCCAAGGCACAGGGGCAAATTCTTATTTGCTCCAAGTTTGGCCCGGCCACCCTTCTGTCATCGTGAGGGACGGGCCACAGGGCCAACCCGACCATGCCGCATGGGACAGGAGCTGCAGAGCAGGCTTGCTATGGGAAACCCAGGAGAAGCAGGCAAGTGGGGGGATTTGGGGGGAAGGGAATAGAGAGAGGGGAATGGGGCATCCAGGGAGGAGGGGACTGAAGAAGGAAGCAGTTGGGGCTGGGACAATCCCTGGGGTTCGTGTCACTGAGTGGGGTTGGAGAAGTGGAGGTTAGATGGGGGCTGTAGTACTGGGTACATGTCAAGGGGGGAACCCTCCGGAGCTGTCCAGGCTGTGGTAGGGACTGGCACGTGTCTCAAGGCGTGAAATAATGTGGTACAGATCACCCAGGATCTATACACACAGACAGGCACTGGAGGTATTTTATTAGCATAAAAGAAATAAAGCAACATTTTAATGGCTAAAACAAAACAACAGAATTCCCCAAAAAATAAAACGAAAAATCAAATCACTCTCCCAAGCTCCTGCTGGTCAGCATCTCCCTTCCCCGCCCTTCTTCAGCCCCGGAGGCCACGCTGCAGCTCTGACACCCCTCAGCTTTGTGTGGCTCCAGGCCATCACCGACATAGGTCAGCACGTGGGGTTCCCTCCCCGATGGGGCCTGCGGCCGTCACCTGCTCTCTCTACACCAGAGCTGTGCCTACGAGGGGGTCGGACTCCTTTGGCAGAGCGGGGTAGGATCCGCAGTCCAGCGCATTCCCGGGGGGACACAGCCTCCCCGCCCCGTGTCCAGAGATGCCGGCTTGTTCCTGGGCTCCAGCGGAGAGCGCCAAACCCACGCCGCCTGGCTGAGCGGGCTGCAGGCTGCCTTCTCAGCACTTGGCCGACGGCATCACCCCAGGACCCCCACACCCGCTTCCCCGGGCCCTCGGCCTCCGGGGGGGAAAGCAGCTCGGGGAAATAAAACAAAAAAACCCCCCAAACAGCCCACCCTCCCCCTGGCTCCCATTAATGAATGTCCTGCAAACCCACTCAACAGCAGGAGGCAGCCAGACTGGTGTAGTTATAGCACATGTAGGGGACTAGAATTTCTTGGGTAGCTCTTTCTGTGCCAAATGTTGCATTCCCTCGCTCGGCCCCCTGTACCCCCCTCACCCTGTGGACTCCTTCCGAATTCCAGCAAGGAGCTCCAGGCTGGATTGATCCCTGGGGTTTAACTCTTTACCCGCCCTGGCTTGTGGCTTCCCCACACCAGAGGGAGCAGCTGTCTTTGGAACGCACCAGCACAAACTCCCAGGGTCAACCTTGCCCTTGGCTTCAGCAGCTTCGCTTTCCTAGCCTTCAACTCCAAGGGCGAGAGCATTTCCCCAGCACCCTGGGGCCTAACCCAATTAAACCAGATTTTCACAGCCCTCCACTAGCACCAGAAGCCACTTCTGCTCCTGATTCACACACGCGGCTTGCCCCAGAGCATCGCCTTCCTAGCATACAAAAAGGGCCTAGAGGCCGAGTTAAGGTCAGCAGGGACCACCCGCTTATCAAGGCTGACCCCTGCCCATCACTGTACTGAGCCCAATAGCCAGGATTACACTAGAGTGTAACATGCCCCCAGGAACAAACTATCATGTGCCACCGGCGGGACGGAGGTGCACCAATGGCTCAGGCCCTGCAGTGGTAGGGAATGGATTTGGTCAGACACTTGCCCAGATGATCTGGGTGTATCTCTGGGGACTGCCTAGGAGACAAAGCCGCCAGAATTGTGATGTCCCAGCTGTTGGATCCCTGTGACCATCTGCTAAGCTTTGAGATCCTTGGCATTCAGATAGTATCTGCCTGGCTAGCCATTGCCTTCCCTGTCCCACAGGTTAACATGGCCTAGACAGGCACGGCGTTCTTGTCTCCCCGCGAGACCCGCGTCATTCCGCTAGTCCACCTCTGTTAGCATCTCCAGCGGACTCGGGCACCTGCTGCCAGCAAGAGAGTAGATTGGATTTTGTGCTCCCTCTGAACCACAGCATTTCAACCCAACACTTCCAGAGCCGCTAGCGGCCTCCGGCTGGTCTGGGATTTAGAGTCAC